ACTCAACCATCCCTAAATGAAGTATAAAATTTGCCGCTTACAGTGGCAAGGTGAAAAATGCCAAAGTATGTGATGAGTAAGAGTATTTGAATAATTATAGGAACCAGGAATCCAAAAAAACAGTGCAATTTCCAGAAAATAAAACTAGGTGAGCACAAATAAACCTATGATACTTAGGTTTCGAAATCAGGTAGTCATCAAGTACAAAAGATTCATTAGTTCGTACAAACATCACAGAGCGTCATCAAAAATTTCAGGACAGAAGATACAACGAAAACCAACAGACAAATTTATCACCACCATCCGTATAGCACTTAAAAACAGCATCAATAAAATTCTAGGTGAACAGTGCAGGCATCTGGTCAGTTGTGTAGAAATCGTAATAACAGTTCTTATTAAAGTGTATGCTGATAATTTTGTCAAGGAGGACAATGGAAACCTCATGGTTCAACCATCTTGTTCAAAGGATGAAAACTCAAAATCACATTCTGAGCTAGGAATATTTTCCACCATCTAAATATTCCAGTATTTTGCAATATATTAAAATGAAGCTTAACCATTCGTATCTCGGAACTTAGATTTTCTCGTCATTTTGTTAAAAGTTGAGAACTTACCAAGTGGCCCTGTTTCACATAAACCAGAGCCGAGGTTGAATATGATGAATTTAGGTCCAGGTCATAAGTAAGCGCGTTTATCTATGCTACTAAAATATAAGACCAAAACCGTAGATTGTTGATTTACAATGGCGTGACTAAGTAATCTACAAGATTTTATAAGGAAGTTATATCGTCGTCTATTCTGACTCCTCCTATTGTGACAGTCAGAAATACGCTTCATATGCTTTCTGAAGAAGACATTTGGACTGAGAATAGAATGATGTACTTAATATGAAGATGGATGGGTTATTCATAGTGACCACGCCTTCAAGGTTGAACTAAGCCGTAATACTCGCTATTTATCACCTTCTCTATAATGTTAAATGTTGGATATACATCATCGAGGTTATTATATATTCATCTTCAAGGATCGAGTAACTAGGATCCTACACCACTACAGATATGATATTAAAATGTTTGTTGTTTATACTTTATTTAGGTCGACGTTTTCGTATCGTCAAGTAACTCCGCATGCAACTCCTCCGGGGGCTAATGCTGGTCCAAAGCCCGGGTAAAGGAGGAGGGTTGGGCATGGGGTTAGCGACCACATCCCGTAGAAAATCAACTCGCCAAAAAACGCTAACCAGAAAAAATCATTCAAACCATTCAAACTCTGCCCTAGCAGTAGAAGGAATCATTATGACGTCTAATGATGAAAGCCGAGTTCCTTCGGAAGTCATGAGGCCGATGCACCTTCTTACAACCAGATCGACAATTTTTATAGGTACATGGAATGTCCGAACAGTGTGGGATACCGGAAGAGTCTTCCAAATTGCTGCAGAAATGAGAAAATACAACTTGGAAGTACTTGGAATCAGTGAAACACATTGGACGCAGGTTGGACAAAAACGACTAGCTTCAGGAGAACTTCTGTTATACTCCGGTCATGGAGAAGAAAATGCCCCACATACACGAGGAGTTGCATTGATGCTGTCCAGAAAAGCACAAAATGCACTTATTGGATGGGAATCTCATGGACCAAGGATCATCAAAGCCTCCTTCAAAACAAAGAGAGAGGCAATTACAACGAACATCATCCAGTGCTATGCGCCTACCAACGACTACGATGAAGACGCTAAAGACCAATTCTACGATGGGCTGCAGTCGATCTTCGAGAAGTGCCCAACCAAGAACCTGACCATTCTGATGGGAGATTTCAATGCCAAGGTTGGAGTGGACAACACTGGATACGAAGACGTCATGGGACAACATGGACTGGGAGAAAGGAACGAAAATGGTGAGAGATTTGCAAACCTATGTGCCTTCAATAAACTGGTAATAGGTGGCACCATATTCCCACACAAAAACATACACAAAGCCACTTGGATTTCACCGGATCACACTACACAGAATCAAATCGACCATATCTGCATCAACAAAAAGTTCAGGAGGACGATGGAGGATGTGAGAACCAGAAGAGGAGCTGATATAGCATCCGATCATCATTTGCTGGTCGCCAAGATGAAACTTAAACTCAAGAAGCAGTGGACAACGGCGCGGACAACATCACAAAAGTTTAATACGGCATTTCTTCGAGATGCTGACAAACTCAACAAATTCAACATAACCCTCAGCAACAGGTTCCAGGCCTTTCATGACCTACTCAATGGAGAGGGAACCAACATAGAGAGCAGCTGGAAAGGTATCAAGGAGGCAATCGTTTCAACATGTCAAGAGGTTCTGGGCCAAAAGAAGCACCATCACAAGGAATGGAACACTGTTGTTGCACTGGATAAAATTGAAGAAAGGAGGAACAAGAAGGCAGCAATCAATATCAGCCGAACCAGAGCGGAAAAAGCCAAGGCACAAGCCGAATACACAGAGGCAAACAAGCAAGTGAAGAGGAGCATCAGAACCGACAAACGTAAATATGTGGAAGATTTAGCAATGACAGCGGAAAAGGCTGCAAGAGAGGGAAACATGAGACAACTGTATGATGCAACACAGAAACTTGCTGGAAATTACCGTAAGTCAGAAAGACCAGTGAAAAGCAAGGAAGGCAAAGTAATCACCGACATTGAAGAACAACGAAACAGGTGGGTAGAACACTTCAAGGAACTCTCGATTCGACCAGCTCCACTGAACCCACCCAACATCGAAGCAGCACCCACAGACCTCCCAATCGATATTGGCCCACCAACAATTGAAGAGATCAGCATGGCCATTAGACAAGTCAAGAGTGGCAAACCAGCGGGATCAGACAACATCCCGGCGGAGGCACTAAAAGCAAATGTAACAGCAACTGCCAAGATACTACACATCCTCTTCAGTAAGATTTGGGACGAAGAACAAGTACCAATAGACTGGAAAAAAGGACTTCTGATCAAGATACCAAAGAAAGGCGATCTTAGCAAGTGCGACAACTACAGGGGCATCACTATCCTCTCAATACCAGGAAAAGTCCTCAACAGGGTATTGTTAAACAGGATGAAGGACTCCGTGGACGCCAAACTTCGAGATCAACAAGCTGGATTTCGTAAGGATAGATCGTGCACAGATCAAATCGCAACTCTACGTATCATTGTGGAACAATCAATCGAATGGAATTCATCACTCTACATCAACTTCATCGACTACGAGAAGGCATTCGATAGCGTGGACAGGACGACACTATGGAAGCTTCTTCGACATTACGACGTGCCTGAGAAGATAGTAAATATCATACGGAACTCCTATAATGGACTAAACTGCCAAATCGTCCGCGGAGGACAACTCACCGACTCGTTCGAGGTGAAGACCGGTGTTAGGCAAGGTTGCTTACTCTCACCCTTTCTCTTTCTCCTGGTGATCGACTGGATTATGAAGACGTCAACATCTGGAGGAATGCACGGGATACAGTGGACAGGCAGGATGCAGCTTGACGATTTAGACTTCGCGGATGATCTGGCTCTTCTATCACAAACGCAACAACAAATGCAGGAGAAAACGACCAGTGTAGCAGCAGCCTCAGCAGCAGTAGGTCTCAATATAAACAAAGAGAAAAGCAAGACTCTCCGATACAACACAATATGCACCAATCAAATTACACTTGATGGAGAAGCTTTGGAGGATGTGGAAACCTTTACATATCTGAGCAGCATCATTGATGAACACGGTGGATCAGATGCAGATGTGAGGGTGCGGATCGGCAAAGCAAGTGCAGCATACCTACAACTGAAAAGCATCTGGAGCTCAAAACAATTGTCAACCAACACCAAGGTTAGAATTTTCAATACAAATGTGAAGACAGTTCTACTGTATGGGGCGGAGACGTGGAGAAATACGAAAGCCATTATCCAAAAAAATACAAATATTTATCAACAGCTATCTACGCAAGATACTCCGGGTCAGATGGACAGACACTATCAGCATTAAGTTAATGTGGGAGACAACAAATCAGATTCCAGCGGAGGAAGAAATCAGGAAGAAGCGCTGGAAGTGGATTGGGCACACCTTGAGGAAATCACCTGATTGTGTCACAAGACAAGCCCTCACATGGAATCCTGAAGGTCAAAGGAGAAGAGGAAGACCAAAGAACACATTACGTCGAGAAATAGAGACAGACATGAGAATAATGAACAAGAACTGGATAGAACTAGAAAAGAAGGCCCAGAACAGAGCGGGTTGGAGAATGCTGTTTGGCGGTCTATGCTTCATTAGGAGTAACAGGCGAAAGTAAGTAAGTTTCGTATCGTCAAGTGGAAACAACACGACCACATATGTCCACATACAAAGCGAACACGTATAAGTCGATGGTGACAAGATTTTGAAATCGCCAGTACCTTTAGTCTTGTCTCAAATGTTGTACACATATTACAAAGTCATGTATTGGCGATCATGAACCATCACTTTTCAATTGAAGTTAAAGGGATCAAAACCTTATGAAAATGGAGACGAACACTCGCCATACTGCATTTAGATATGTCTACCATGGTGCGCCCCGTCGATGTTAAATTCAATATGGAAAATTGCATTCAGATAATGAGCACGCTTAAAAGCTAATTTGGATATCTTGGAAAGAGTACATCACATCATTATGTAACTTTGCTAAAGTTGAACGAGAATGATATGACTTCCTAGGTTACATGACTTTTTGTCGAAGTCATGTCACTCAACGATTGCCCAAACTAACTTAGTCAACCTCGTTCTGAGGCTAACATTTTTCTTAGTGTTTTTAAAGAACTGGTAGAAACTACCCAGTAAAGCGATTTGTTGAATAACATAGACTGAAGAGACTTCATAAAATATGCCAGCCACAACACACTGCACTTATCGTGATTCTACCACTGGTTGGTCAGTTCTCGTAAACCGTTTATGACATGACGCAGTTCGACAAATTACTCAACTTTCAGAGACCAGTATTCTATGGTATGTGTGTGTGTCTAGCTTGCTAGTATTTACCCGAACCTGCAGAAAATAAAAATAACCATATCCTTCTACAGTCGAAGACACTTTACTCCCACTCAGATACAGAACCCTAGGAATAAACAGTTCGCTAATTGTCTAGCAAAGTCTGAGGACTGAAAAATATTCAGCCCTTACATTAAATATTTGGGTTTGACAAAACGCCTGAAAAGGTTATTATGAGAGAAGTTAAAAGTGATGTTAAGGTCTCCTGATAACAAAATCTGAGAAGAATTTATTTGAAAGACTTCTCTGATGACTTATTTACTAATATACGCCTGTTGCCCCTCGCGGTGGAGCATATGCCGCCCATCAACAGTCTCCATTCAACCCTATCCCGGGAAACCCTTTCCACTTGCCATTCATCCTTTTCATGTCTGTCTCCAATTCCTGTTGCAATGTGTGCCTTGGTCCTTCGCTTCTAATTTTGCTTTCAGGATTCTAAGTTAGGTCTCTCCTCGTGGTCCCCTTAGTTGATTTCTGTAATATATGTCCTACCGAATTTCAACGCCTTTTCCTAATTTCCTCCTCAGGTGGAAGTTGGTTTGTCCTCACCCCACAGTAGGCTGTGCAAGATGGTGTCCGGTAAACGAACATTTAGTATCTTACGTAAACAACTTTATAAATACTTGTACTTCTTCGATGATGGTTGTAGCAGTTATGCAAGTTTCAGCTCCGTACAGTAGTGCTGTCTTGATGTTTAAATTGAAGATTCTTACTTTGAAATTAGTTGACAGTTGTTTTGAGTTCCAAATGTTCTTCAACTGCAGGAATGCGGCCCTTAATTTGCTAATGTTAACCTTCAGGTCTGCATCAGATACTCTTTTTTCATCAATGATGCTCTCCGGAAAGGTACATGAATGTTTCCACATCTTCCAGAGTTTCTCCATCAAGAGTGATTGTGTTGGTGTCCTCTGTGTTATATCTCAGGATCTTGATTTTTTACTTGTGTATGTTCAGGAACACTGATGGAGAGTCTGCTGTTACACTATTTGCCCTCATATGCATTAGTTCGTGTGCATTGGGTAGAAGAGCTACGTCATCTGAGAAGTCTAAATCTTTTAAATGATTCCGAGTTGTCATTGTACTCCGTGTTTTTCCTCAGATGTCGAGATCTTCATAGTTTAGACAACCACCAGAAGAAAGAGAAAGGGAGAGAGTAAACAACCTTGTTGGACACCCTTCCTCATTTATAGTGCTTCTGTCAGCCGGCCTACAAGCACGATTTTACAGTGTACTCCGTCGTATGAGTTCTGGATAATGTTGACAATCTTCTCAGGAACTGTATAGTGTCGAAGAAATTTTCACAATGTTCTCCTATCCACACCGTCAAACGCCTTCTCATAATCAAGGAAGTTTATATGTAGCGACGAATTTAATTTCGATTGATTGTTCAATGACGATCCGTAGTATTGTGATTTGATTTGTGCACGACCGATCCTTACGGAATCAAGCCTGTTGATCTCGACGTTGAGCGTCTACTGAATCTTTCATGCAGTTCAGGAACACTATGTTGAAAACTTTTCCCGGTACTGACAACGGTGTGATGCCTCTATAATTCTCACATTTGCTCAGATCTCCTTTCTTTGGTATCTTGATGAGGTACATTTCCTTCAAATTCGTCAGCGGCGCGTGATGTTCTTGGGTAGAAGGTGAAGCATGTTTGCACTAACCTCAATGTCTGACTTCAGAGCTGTAGTTAGTATATTGTCAGGTCTGTAGTATCAGTTTATTTGTTAAGCCCATATACTTTATCCTAGCTACTGGCCAAGCCAATTCGCCTGTCATGAGTCATATTTTGATCTTGTTCATTATTCGCTTGTTAACCTTGGCTATACTTTTATATGAGCATATATGTGTACACTTCGTATCTTATTCATCATATGTCTGTCAGTCATTTTTGTCTGACTATAAATGTTGATTAACGCTTGCTTAAATCGAGTTGGCTTCCCAGCCATCTCCAATACGCATCATCTTTCGCCTCGTTCACTTCCTTCGCTTATTCGCCTGTTCACTCACTCGTTATTATTCGCTCAGGTGTTGCTAACTTTCTGACCTGAGTTATTCGACAATAAACTATAGTTGCTGCTATCCTTTGTCTTCTGATTTTACGCGCCGTTAAGATTAGAATTATATTGGTTATGGAAACGAACGATTAACGAATCGCGGCACTACAGGTCCTTATATTTATTTTTACTCTGTCTGTTAGAAGGGGCATCGGTCCTCTGACTTCTGAAGAACCTCGACTTTCGTCATGAGGTGTCATCATTCTTTCTTCAACTCCCCTGTCAGAGTTTAATTGGTTTAATTTGTTAAATATGGTTGATGTTGCATTGGCAAGATTTTTTCCACAGGAGTGGGTTGCCGACCGCATCCCCAACCCCCTTCCTTTACTCGGTCTTGGGACCGGAAGTAACTGTAGTAGAGTTACAGGTGGAATTTCTCTTATGACTCGTGGGAACAAAAGATTTAGGTAACATTTTAATCATTTGAACTGAACGTCGGTAATGTGAAGTTCTGTTTGTTCTTATATTCATGAGCCCATTTCAGCGATCCAGTTCTACTCGATACTGAATTTTCGCATGTATCGTACTCAGTCACTTGAAATGAACATGAAAAGGCTTGGAATTTGAAAGTATATTAATGTTTCGAGGTCATGACTATGTCCCCTGTTTGACCCCAAGGTTGCTCTTCGACCTTGTAAGACTTATTCGGCAACGTTGGTCACCAAATTGAGTTTGAGCGTAAGTTATTCAGATCCAATCTTCAGACAGTCATAAGGAAAATTCAGTAAATGCACAATTAAAAAATTAACTATAGTTCATGTCATGTACTTAGGTATTGATAAAAAAATGTGACAATCAGTAAAACGGTGTCGAATAATAAAAATATGACTACATGAAAGTGTAAGAAGGCAAACACAACTGTTGCAAATCCCGAAGCTTTCTAGACAGCTTCAAGTTCAATAGGACGCTAATTTTCACTGTACACATGTTTGACTCAGGGTATTTCTTGATTAGAAGCGAGTCCATCTCACAAGAATTATTCATGCCAATTTATCAAATATTACACTGTACAGACCTAACTTAAATTCGAATTCTACAAGGTTATGTACACGTAAATCACCCTTCAACTCAAAGTCTTCAAGTATCCTCCGTATTTCCAGCTTCTGCCACGTCATTTTCTCTTCAGTGTCCGGGTGGGTCCAGTTAAATGGAAAAAAAGTACAATCGAATCATCATTTAAGGCTTTGTGGTTATAAATTTTACAGGCAATGGGAATACATAAACCCCATAGTTCTACTAAGACAGATGATATTCGTTCCAATGTGTGGCAAATCATCTTTGTCATCGGATGTGTTTCAGATTCAGAATTGTGTATTGAGGACAGAAAGGTTACAGTCTATGTTAGTCCTCCCTTAATAAGCTTCTAAGTGTATGTTTCCTTAAATTAGTCAAGTGAAGGCGCGGACAACACTCTCGGATAACAGGTCCCAAAGATTGATGACTTCGAGTGAAAACTTGTATACCATTGGTATTTTGTTCGCCCTTGACTTAATTACTCGTCTGCTATGTTCTCTGAGTTATCCTAATCTGGTGGGAAAAAGTAAAGGGTATGTCGGGTTCAAAATCATTTCTTAGTATTTTATGTATCAAAATCAGACTACTTAATCTGCAGTAGGACAGATTAGAGGTTTAGCTTCTCAAGCCTCTCTGCGTAAGATAAGCATAGGAGTTCTGGGATTTCACAAGTACTGCCCTTTGTACTTTTTCTAGGGCAACCGCCTCACCTTTTAGATAGGTTTGTTGTCTGAACGCAGTTTACAAGTTTGGATCTTATTAAGATTGTGTATACTGTAGTAAAAATATCAGTATCTAACTTAGTAAATATCTGTCTTAAAGTCTATAGGGTCTTAAACCCCTTAGCTGCAACCACGAGGCTTTTTTTTCGAATCTTTTGTTAAAAGATAGCAGTTTCTGTTCTTGACAACACGTGTTTCGGATGGGATAAATTATTAGCGTAACTTTGTGATTAATCAGTTCCATGTCCTTGTTTTTTTTGAATTACTACTTGACTATACAAGTTGAAATAAACCGAGTAAAGTTCTAACCGACAGTAAATGTTCTTAGATATCAAATTTGTTTCAAGCCATTCATGTTTACTCGTTTCTCGGGCGATTTTCAGGGTTGCTTTTATTGTCGTAAATCATCTAGTAACAACCTTTACAAATTAATAAGCTCACAAAGAAGCCGTGTTCAGGATGGATTTTCCTGCTCCAGAAGGTAATCATGAAATATTTTCTGACAAACGTTTGGAATCTGTAGTGAGCCCACAAACGAACTTCAATTATGGATTAGTGACTTTGTTTATCATCGCATTATCATATTTTCTTTGGAAATTCTTCCGTTCTTGGTGCGAAAATTCGTCGACTGTTAATAATGAATCACATCGCTTAGCTATGGAAGCTGCCAGAGCAAAATTTCAAGCTGAGTTCAATGCTGAGGTTACTCAGCACAAATCTAGAAATCAAGACGAGGGAGAAGGGAAAAGTAATGTAAGCTATGGAAAATATTAATACTCTTACTGTACTTCTTTTGCTTTTGATCCACTAACTACAAAACCTGACATCATTGTTGTCATAGAATTTTATAGATTAGATAAAAAAATTTAAATAAAACAACTGCATCTCTGTGCTAATGTGGTATGGCAACTCGAACTGATGTACTTACATACGAAGTTCTACGTTGTGACTGACTGATATTAAATAAAATGTGTGGCCAAGAATCTGGACAAACTCTCGACTTTTTACAAGTACCTTTCGGACTTGTGTTCAGGGCTTTATGCAAACTTAAAAGCGACAGAAACACAATAAACGGTTTATAAGTAGTAGTGACCAAAATCTACATTTTGTATTTTACCTCTAATGATGTGGTCTGAAACTGGTAACATCTACGTTATCACACTCATGCTCTATGTTCCTCTAATTTTAAGTTAGGTGGCATTCCTAACTCCTGTTGACCTGAGCTACATCCGTAGATGCATGCTATCTGATTGAGGTCCTCGTGATTACCGTAACCAGTGGCTGAAGATGTAGCGACTCAAAATCGGTCACCATAACATAGATTTGTTCACTGCTTGTCTCCTTAAATCTTAAATTTCGAAATTACATTGTAATTTTTATTCAGTGAATTTATTCTTTTTTTGTCGAATCACATTCTCCCCCAAATGCCCTAGTACGGCCGAGAGTGGGGAGAGTCACCTCTCCCTCTTGAAATGCTCTCACATGGCCAGCGAATATACAGCCTCTGCTAGGGAAATCCTACTCATTGCCTCCTCGTGGTATTATTGTTGTTTACGAAATTGAGAGGACGAAAAGCGAATGTCCGGCGTTTTAACCGGGTCGGTGGACACGGCGAGTCCACCTAGGGGAGTTGGAAAACCCGGATTCCAAACCAATGGTGCACATGGGCTCCAGTATCCTGAAGGAACAAATGGCGTACGAATCAATGATTGATCACCGGCTACCATGGGACTGCATCTCCTCACGATGCTCTACTGCCTTGTGGACTAGACCTTCAGGTCAAAGGCTCCGGGTGTGGCCCCCTAAGAAAACCACCTGCTTCAGTTTGGGCACCTGGGCAGTATCACAGCCCTCACACAAATCAAATGAGATTTGTGAGGCGCATATGTATCTGGTGCTTCCTTGTACCAATATATGTGTGCTTAAATAAATAAATAACTAAATAAATAAATAATCACATTCTCTGTTAGATAGTTACTTCGTACTATGACTAACAGTACTCCTACTTATCTATTCGTTGTGATTCCCATCTTACTATTTTCATCTTGTTGCCTACTTTACTGTTATTAAGTGTGGAAACTTGTATTGATACTCATTCATACGAAATCCTAAATTGGCTGGACATACGTTAGCTTAATCCTCCTAAAGCATCATGAAAAGTACCACACTAGTTGAAATATCAATGTTTTGAATAAAATAGAGAACCGAACTAATGATAGGGAGTGAAGTAGTTGAGCGTGTTGACAGCTTCACTTATCTTGGGAGTCTCATTAGCCCTTGTGGTCTAGTGTGTGGCGAAATCTGAGTACGGATACAGAAGGCTCGTCTAGATTTCGCCAACTTGCGTCATTTATGGCGTAGGCGAGATATCCGTCTAGCAACAAGAGGACGGGTTTGCTGCGCAGCAGTTCGTTCCGTTCTACTTTATGGCAGTGAAACGTGGCCAATAAGAGTAGAGGATATTCGTAGGCTACTAGTATTTGATCATAGGTGTCTTCGACGCATTGCTCGTATATCCTGGGACCACCGGGTAAGTAATGCAGTTGTTAGAAAACGGGTACTAGATAATGATGGCAAATCGATTGATGAAGTAGTGAAACTTCACCATTTGAGATGGCTGGGATACATGTTACGTATGCCCAACCACCGACTGCCCCGACGTGCAATGTTTCATGGTGTAGGACCAGGTTGGAAGAAAGTTAGGGGCGGCCAGACCAAAACGTGGCACAAATCCATGAAGTCACTGACAATTGGACTGAGCCATGCTGGTAGGTGTAGACTACCTGGTTGGGATTCGCGAGATGATAGCAATCGATGGTTAGAGACCTTGAATGACATGGCTCAAAATCGTTTGCAATGACGAAGGTGCATCCACTCTTTGTGTTCTGCCAAATTCTAATCTTCTGGATTCTTCATGTCCGTATCCTTTTTCTCTTTCCAAATTTATTTCATTGTATTATACTCCTTCAATAACATCTTCAAACCCTTATCTTTCACATAATACTTATACTCTTACTACTTCTACCACTATGGGATTTGAATTGACAACTTCATCTCTGTGCTAATTTGGTATGGCAACTCGAACTGATGTACGTACGTACATACGAAGTTCTACGTTGTGACTGACTGACTGGACAAAGCAGTAGAAAAAAATTAATGGGAAAAATGTTATAAAGAGGCGGAATCATAACCATATTGATTGTTCTTTTACTTTCTTTTTCATACTTATTTGTTAAGATGACGTTGTATATGTGGAATTGAAGAGAACGATCTCAACCGTTTAGTTTGCCCTGACCACATACTATTTATCGAATGATTTTGTGGGCAGAAATAACAGTCTTAATTCTGCAATCTATATTTAATTGGACGGACAGTAGTTCTGTCTTACAAAGTGTATTCTATTGAGATTTGGTCCTGTAAGCAGATTATTCGTTCAGTTCGCATAATCATTTCAGAGATCCATTAATGGATCTTCTCATCATAACAAAACATAAGCGAGAAAAAAAACACTTTTGAAATTTAATTTTGTTATTTATGAAAAGGAAACTAAAGTTAACTGTGGAGCTGTTACTGACTTAAAACCAATAAGAAACAACGATTCATCAAATTGGGCGGTCGTTATGAGCATCGAAGAATTAATGATGTGTTGAGACGTAATTATTCAGCTCTAAATATTGTTTTGTTGTATGGATACATGTTATGAATATTGCTTTTCTCAGTCATACTTAATATCGGCTGACAGGATTCAACAGGGAATTCCCTGAGACATACCCAAGCCCCCTAGTTTTGTAATAAATTCAGTTGAATTGTCGTATTCACGATGCCTGAACACACATCGTTGGACCTTAGCATAAGTGTTGAAACCAAATGTAATCGATACGATAGGAAGTGGTGATCTAAAATACGAGGCTAAAATCTTTAATTTGAAGAGACTAGATTTCACAAACAGTAATCCTAATTACTCTCACTGTAATGTTGTACACATAACCTTGTACGGTCAGAATAATATCTTGATTTTTTCAAGGATTCTAGATTGGTACATACCATCTTGACACTTATTATACAATAGTGATCTCATTTGTCAATGACTTTCACTCATCTAGCGAAGAGTTTTTCCCGCTGTATTTATGTGGTCAATTTTTCGCAGTTCTCACGGGAGAGCTCTATTTATTATCCTTAGATGTAAACTATATTGATAGACACGCGTGGAAATTGAAAGGTTTTGATCACAGTATACATGCACAAACGAATTATCATTTTGTCCTATTTGGGACTCGTCAGCCGGATGTACCTGCATCTCAAAGTTGATGTTCACTCTGTGACTCGAACCCAGTACCTTTCGCTTCAAATACAATCGCTTTATCCACTCGGCCACTGAGTCCTGATAGCCACTTGCTTGTGCAATGGGGTGAAGTTTAAATTTACTTGTTAGCATTTTTTTTGAATCTTCCTATTGATGTTTATATACATTCTCATGTATGCGTACTTATTACTTCACCACTATTTAATCATATCAAGTTGGCGATTGCATATTAATCATCCTATTCGTATTGAATCATTATTTCATGCTACCTTGCAGGTTCGTAAAAGTACTGATTCTGATGAGAAAAAGAAACGGTTCCGAACTAGTGGTAAGTTAAACTAAATTGAAGTCAAATGATGAGTTATTTCATATGTATATATACATCAGTAAATGTTATTTTTTGGATAGTAAGGTCTTATGCTATATGGTATGTGCACAGTTGAGAAGATATAATACATATATTATAAGAATAAAATGTGTTGCCTACCACCATAATAATAAAAGCCTTATCAAAGTAATGTCTAAACATAAAAAATGATCTTATAAACCATACCTTTCATTTGTCTATCTCATATGTTCCTTGTAAATGATCTTTTGTTGTATCACTACGTTTAATGTTTATTTTCCATCTCCCGACCGTTGCTGCTACCTTGACGTGGTGGTCGGGCTTGCCTATCGTGATGATTCAATCGAGCTATACTGGCTGGAACAATCGTTCCTCAAGGTCCTACCATGCCAGACAGGTCGGTTGAAGAACGGTGAGACTAAAAGCAGCAAACCCAAGGTCCGAAGGCGAAGTCGTACTGCTGACTGTACAGAGGTGTGACAGCAGTAAGGTGTTTCCTTCAGACAGACAGCATGACAGCGATGCTGCCTTTCCACAAGAAGGGGTGGGGTTAGAAAAGGTCGACTCTAAAAATGCACACCTCGCCTTATCCCACGGATTTCCGTCTCCGGCGGTAAGGTTCTTTGAAGAACGGAGCTAACACAAAAACTACCCACAAAAAGGTCGTGTGTGACCGACCTCAAGCGGTTGTCAGTTGGGCACTGCGGTCACGCTCTCAGGTCATTAAGACCACTCCTAACCCAATTTCCTTTTCAGGTACCCATAGAAGAACTCTTCCACGGTGTAGGCAACCGAGAAGCGATAACTGCCCTCATACCTCTAACAGCACTCAAGACCACTGTATTCATAATCAATCTCCTTCAATTCCTACTATTCCTTCTACATTGACTTTCAACACTAAACTTCCTCTCTCGGTTTCCTCCTCAAGTGTCACCATGGCCAACGATTCTAGTGCGCGAAACGCTGTCCCAGGTCTACTAAAACCTCGCTCCAAACTACACATTGGAGCCTTCAACGTACGTACCCTATGCCAAATCGGTCAACAGGCCTCCTTAGCTAAAACCTTAGAGTCGCTTACCATTGATGTATGCTGTGTCTCCGAAACACGCATACAGGATCCCAGTGTGGTCATTCACTTGACCTCACCTCGCCAAAATGGACAGCCGACGAAATACACCCTCCGTGTATCTGGCGACCCGTTGGCTAGTTCTCGTGGACTTGCAGGTGTAGGCATAGCACTAAGTACAAGGGCAGAACAGGCACTACTAGAATGGATCCCCGTTAACAGTCGCCTGTGTGCTATCCGGCTAAATGGCTCCATAAGAACTCGGAAGGATAGGGACACACGTCGTTGCCTTTTCGTCGTTTCTGCCTACGCTCCCACTGACTGCAGCCATGATGAAGTAAAAGATGACTTTTACAGAAAGCTCTCTGAGCTTCTTCATAAAGCTAAGCGCTCAGACATAGTAATCGTATCGGGTGACTTTAATGCCCAGGTAGGCAGCTTAAATCAAACAGAAAGACATTTAGGTGGGTGTTTTAGTATTCAGGTTCAACGAACCGATAATGGTGATCGTCTGTTGCAACTATGCTCAGACAATCGTTTATTTTTAGCAAACACTAATTTTAAACATAAGGAGAGACATCGTCCAACATGGCGACCACCTGCACCAAACCAACGATGGACTCAAATAGACCATATTGTCATCAGTCATCGTTGGAGAGGCTCAATAGAAGATTGTCGCTCGTATTGGAATACTTGTTTAGACTCTTATCACGCTTTAATACGAGCGCGCATTTGTCTGCGCCTCAATGGACGCAGGAAAAGTACACTAAGAAGACCCATTAGGATTGAACTGGAGGACGAGAAAGCCAAATGCGAATTCCAGAAACAACTGAGTTCACATCTAGGCAGTTCTGTAAACGAGACTGACCCAGATGCTGCTTGGAAAGACACACGAACAGCTGTGGAAACAACAGTAACATCTATTCGTTATTTAAACCATAGGGCTCCAAAAAACCAGTGGATCTCTTCTAGGTCTACTTCACTGATGGATTCGCGTAAACTCATCCCATCAGGCTCTGAACATGACGAAGAGCGTAAAGAAATTAGATCTAGGTTAACTAAAAGCCTAAGGAACGATCGTGAGCAGTGGTGGGCAACGAAAGCAAAAGAGATGGAAAAGGCAGCGGCTGTAGGGAACACCAGGCAACTATTCAGACTAATAAAAGAAACCGGGATTAAGAAGTCAAGTGTAAGTGAGACAATCTCGGAAAAAGACGGAACCCTTATCTGTTCTCAACCCAAACGTTTAGAACGATGGGCGGAACACTTTAAGGAGCAGTTTAGCTGGCCTTCAGTTACTGCACAACTATCCACTATTCCCTGAACGCCTGAATGGAACATTGAAGTAGGCCCCCCGACCCTACTTGAAGTTCAAAAGGCTATAGGTAATCTGAAACGAGGAAGAGCAGTTGGTCCAGACGGATTGGCTCCAGAGGTCTTTAAATATGGTGGTCCAATTTTAGCGATTAGGTTGACTAATATTCTGGCTAAAATCTGGGAGACGGACGTAATCCCATCTGACTGGTCACAATCTCTGATTGCTCCCAATATATAAGAAGGGGCCAAAATCATCCTGTGATAACCATAGAGGGATTAGTCTGACTAATATAGTATCTAAAGTACTAGCCTCAATAATTATCGGGCGCCTAACTAAGACTCGGGAACTGTAAACACGAGAAAATCAGGCTGGCTTCAGACTTGATCGTGGCTGTATCGACCACATATTCACCATTCGTCAAGTTTTAGAGCACAGACACGCTTATCGGCGTCCGACAATGGTAGTTTTTCTTGACTTGAAAGCAGCATTTGACTCTGTAGACCGAGAGGTTCTGTGGCAGTGTCTGTCATTGAAAGGTGTATCTGAGAAGTACATAAACCTTGTGAAGGCTCTTTACTCGAACACTACCAGTGAAGTGAGAGCTTATGGCGAACTGTCATATGATTTTACAACCTCAAGTGGTGTCCGTCAAGGCTGTCCACTATCCCCATTTTTGTTTAACTTCATTATAGACCTGTTGCTGGAAATAACACTGTGTGGGCGAGAATGTCAATGATTGGTTGTCTTGATGAGTCAGACATTAGACAGGATGACAGGTGTTATGTATATATATATTTCCCTATCCTTATTATGTATTGACACTTATTAACTTATTGACTGTTCCATGTGTCGGATTTTGGTGTGGAAATATATTGACGTTATAGTCAGGCTAATATTGTGTTCTTGATCTGAGTTCTGTTGAAGTCCTGTAGAATAGACACTGGGTGGGAATCTAGTGTAGATATTCGTCTAAGATAAATTAACGTCCCACATACGTGTAAGAAGTAAAAGGACTGTTATAACCAGAAACCCCTAAAGTTATAACCAGCATCCTCTCTCTCTCTCTACGTTTATAACAATTGGCGACGGCATACATACGTTTATAACATTGGCGACGGTGATTAAAACGGATCTACGCTTACGTATTCAGTTAAAGTGAATTTTGTATCAAGAAAATGGATGATCTGAAAACCTTATTGCAACAGCAAAATACTCTTATCGAATTATTAGTCAAAAATATGTCGATATCCTCAAGAACTGATGTGTCTAATTCCACTATGACTCCGGATTCTAGTGCAAATTCAATAACTGAATTCAGATTTGATCCAGAAAGTGGAGTTACTTTTGAGGCGTGGTTTAAACGCCATGAGGATTTATTTATTAATGAATGTAAAGAGTGGGACGAAAGCTCAAAATTGAGATTATTATTAAGAAAGCTTGGAGTGTCCGAACATGAAAAATTCTGTAATTTTATCCTCCCAAAGAAGCCATCCGACATAACGTTCAAAGAAACAGTTGAATGCCTGACTCGTATATTTGGTGAACGGTCATCAATTTTTCACACTAGATACCAGTGTCTTCAACTTGTAAAGAAAGTACAGGACGATTACGTAACGTATGCAAGTATCGTGAACCGGGAATGTGAGCGGTTCCGATTACAGGAAATGTCCTCAGATCAATTCAAGTGCCTTATTTTTGTATGTGGATTACAATCTTCAGTAGATGCAGATATTAGAGCACGGATTCTAACGAGAATCGAACAAGATCCTAATATCAGTCTACAATCAGTATCTGAAGAGTGTCAAAGAATGGTTAATTTGAAGCATGACACGAATCTCGTAGAAAGGAACAGTGAACACGTGGGAATTAATGCTTTATGTAAATCTTTAAATGAAAATAAAGATTCGAACTCCCAGAAAATCCCGAATCAAGTGAAACACAAAATGTCATGTTGGCGATGTGGTAAGTGTCATTCTGCCAATGTTTGCTATTTTAAAAAATGAGTATGCTTTCAATGTGGTAAATATGGTCATGCTCAAGTATGTTGTAAAAGTAAACCAAAAGTTTCTGACCGTCAGCATAAGTCCCGTAAAGGAAATAAGATACATACTTCAAAAGTAATGCCGCATAACTCAAATGTTGTTCTGGCTACAAAAAGTGAGCATTTCTCCTCTAAAAGGAAGTATGTAACCATTTTTTTCGATGGCAAACCGGTCAAACTACAAGTCGATACTGGGTCTGATATAACATTAATTTCTAGAGAAACTTGGATTAAAATTGGTCGACCCCGATATCAACCTACATGTCATAATGCCAAGAGTGCGTCAGGAACTAATATTACTCTTCTTGGAGTAATACAGCTACCTCTCACGTTTGGTGAAAAGACTCTGACCGGGAAATGTTACGTATCCGGGAACTGTAATACCAATCTATTAGGTATTGATTGGATTGATAAATTTGGTTTGTGGGATTTACCGTTGAATGTGCCGAAAGCAGAATCCCAGTCATGGCCAGAAACGACAAAGCTTTGGGTCCGACTACATGTTGATTATGCTGGACCAATAAGTGGACAATATTTTTTGGTGGTGGTTGATTCATACTCAAAATGGCCTGAAATTTATGTGGTACGAAGACCATCTACGTCTGAAACACTGCTACATCTGAGACAACTATTTGATAACGGAACGCAGTTCACGTCGTTAGAGTTTGCGGAGTTCTGTAAACAGAATGGAATCGAGCACGTTAGAACTCCACCGTATCACCCTAAGTCGAACGGGCAGGCAGAGAAATTTGTTGATATTCTTAAACGAGCTCTCTTAAAGATGGGAGGAGAAGGCAACGTAGAAGAGGCTCTGCAACAATTTCTCATTTCCTATAGAATTACGCCAAGTCCAAACTGTCAAGATGGGAAATCTCCAGCCGAAATAATGTTAGGCCGACCGATTAGAACATTTTTTGATGTTTTGAACCCGAAAGACAGAATCAGTGGACTACAAAAAAATAACAAAGGGAATTGCCTGAAAATTCGAGAATTCAAAGTAGGTGACTCAGTTTATGCACGGGATTTCCGGCCTGGCAAGCCAAAATGGATATTTGGGTTTATAAAAAAACGACGTGGTACAGTATTATATGAAGTGATAGTCGAAAATACACTAATTATTAGACATGTAAATCAACTGCGAGATAGAAAATGTGTTTATGAGTCATCTAAACTCAAACCATTACCAATGGAAGTATTATGTGATACGTTTGATATTCCACCACCACCACCACAAGTTGAAATGAGAAAAAATGATCTAGAATCAGAAGTTAGACGAAGGTCATTCAGGAAACGGAAACAAACGAAATTTTTTCAAATAGACCCCAAAGTGAAATCATACGATCGAACTTCGCGAGGGTGGTGATGTGTGGGCGAGAATGTCAATGATTGGTTGTCTCGATGAGTCAGACATTAGAGGGGATGACAGGTGTTATGTGTTATATATATATTTCCCTATCCTTATTAGGTATGGACTTATTGACTGTTCCATGTGTCGGATTTTGGTGTGAAATATATTGACGTTATAGTCAGGCTAATATTGTGTTCTTGATCTGAGTTCTGTTGAAGTCCTGTAGAATAGACACTGGGTGGGAATCTAGTGTAGATATTCGTCTAAGATAAATTAACGTCCCACATACGTGTAAGAAGTAAAAGGACTGTTATAACCAGAAACCCCTAAAGTTATAACCAGCATCCTCTCTCTCTCTCTACGTTTATAACAATTGGCGACGGCATACATACGTTTATAACAAACACTCTCTTCGACTGAATCTACAGGAATTGATCTCCTACCAGGGGGACCACTAAGCGACTTAGAATACGCAGATGACATAGTCCTGTTTGGCGAAGACGCTGGCAAAATGCAGAGTCTTCTGTTAGAACTCAGTAATAATGCCAGGATGTTTGGGATGTGTTTCTCCCCATCCAAATGTAAATTGTTACTCCAGGACTGGCCTGCGTCAACACCTGAACTAAGGATAGGGAGTGAAGTAGTCGAACGCGTCGACAACTTCACTTATCTTGGAAGTCTGATCAGCTCTAATGGGTTGGTGTCTGACGAAATCTCTGCACGGATTCAAAAAGCTCGTTTGGCTTTTGCCAACTTACGTCACCTATGGCGAAGACGAGATGTCCGTCTATCAATTAAGGGACAAGTATACTGCATAGCAGTTCACTCTGTTCTTCTTTACGGCTGTGAAACGTGGCCATTAAGAGTAGAAGATACTCGTAGGTTGCTAGTATTTGACCACAGATGCCTTGGAAATATTGCTCGCATCTGCTGGGATAACCGGGTAAGTAATAGTGAGGTTAGACGCAGGGTATTAGGGAACGATGGTAAATCAGTTGATGAGGTGATGAATTTTCATCGACTGAGATGGTTGGGCCACATGTTACGTATGCCTGAACACTGATTACCACGACGCGCTATGATGACTAGTATTGGGGATGGTTGGAAGAAAGTTAGGGGCGGCAAAACAAAACATGGCATCAGTGTTTGAAGTCACTAACTTCTAATCTGAGCCATGTTGGTAGATGCAGACTACCTGGTTGGGGTCCGCTTGACTATCGTAACCAATGGTTGGAGACTCTGTGTGATATGGTTCAGAATCGATCACAATAGCGTAGGTGAATACACTCCATATCTTCCCTTAAACCTTGAGACTAAAATTGCTTCATATCTGTCTTTCTCCTTGTACTATATCCTCATATACAGTCTTTCTTTCATATATTACCACCACTAAATTAACTACTATGAATTCGGTGTTCATCTTGTTGTGCTAACGAGGTATGGCAACTTGGACCGATGCATATATGTGCCTGGTCCTACGTTGTAGCTGACTGACTATTTTCCATCTGTTTACTTCTCACTTCATTCATTTCCACTTTGGACATCAAAATTAGCCCCTAGTACGGTCTAGTGTATGGAAAGTTTGCTTTCTTTCTCAGAATGTTCTCATTTGGCCATGTGTTTATAGTCTGTCAAGGAATTTCTACTAACTTCACGTAACAGGGATGTTCCTTACGAAATTGAGATGAAAAGTGGGCGTTCGGCGCCCAAACCGAATCAGTGGATACGAGAGATTTACCTGGGGGAAGTTGAAAAACACTGATGTAAAATGGTAACATTACAGACAATGGTGTAAAATGGCTTCAAGATCCTGAGGAATCGGACTGATTATGTCCAATCGCTTGTAGGTAGTAACAAAAGTCTTTACAGATGATAAAAAAATACAGAATCTACGTCCATGTACCTTGATTTATTCAAGACGTTTTAAAGTGAAATCCAGTCCAGATGGTTCAACTCGACTACTAACGGGAAGCATAAGTTACACATGTTCTGCAAGTAAGTTACTTTTCATACCAATGTGCTTTTTAGGAAGATGCAGGGCGTAATTGTGTACCTTGTCTAAAGACCTACTCAAATTAGCTGGTTTATTTACTTAGGAATTATGAACTGGACATTACCAAGACTAGGAGTAGGATGGGAAAAACTAGGAACAAAGCTACTTTGTATTAGTCGAAGGTTTATCAAGCGTGCACATCTTTTTATTTTACCTTTTATTAGGATTTAAAATTAATAAAAATAGTTTATTTTAAAACAGTGAGTGTATTTTTCAAATTTTTGACTATTTCGGAACACTTATCAATGCCCTGGTACGTCCAAGAGTCCGCTCTCCCTCTCGAAATGCTTACACATGTACACACGTATATAGCCTCTGCCAGGGAAGTCCTACTCACTGCCTTCTCGTGGCAGAGGTGTTCTTTACGGAATTGAGAGGACGAAAAGCGAATGTCCGGTGCTTTAACCGAGTTGGTGGACATGGAAATTCCACCTAGGGGAGTTGGAAAACCCTGATTCCAAACCAATGATGCACATGGTTTCCAGTATCCTGAGTCAACAAATGGAGTATGAATCAATTGTTGGTCACCGGCTACCATGGGACTGCATCTCCTCACGATGCTCCACTGCCTTGTGGGTCACATTTCAGATCAAAGGCTCGGGGTGTAGCCCCCTAGGAAAACCACCTGCTTCAGTTTGGGTACCTGGGCAGTATCACAACCCTGACACAAATCAAATGAGATTTGTGCGGCGCATTCATTTACAAACTGTGTTGAAGTCATTCAAATGTTTGTTTGCTGTTGCAAAAGAAATTACCAACATCATTAACAATAAGTTATGTCACTTTTTATTTTTTCAAATGTTACAGATTACAATCCTCTAATGGGTGATACTGGGAAAACTTACAGGCCAACTTCACGATTTTGTTCAACTGGTGGATGACGTTAAATACCCAACCAATTATAAGAATTCAATAAGATCAGAAAGTAACACTTATTGAGTTCACCACATTATACAGACTAGCCTTATTACATTTTTACACAAAGATAAAAGAACAAGGAATTCACTTCTTTCTTTCCAGTATGATGTTGTTAATTCGAAATTGGAGCCTAATTCCAAGATTAACAACTGATGTCGTTTTTTTCTTCTTTGGTGTAAAAATATGAAACAGTTTTTTTTGTATTGTGATTAAATTAGTCTTGACAACAACATAAAAACCAAAACCTGTATACTGCTTGGTTACTAATAATTGTAATTTTGAAATTCAAAGTTTGTTCAGTTGGTGTTTATTTCAGTGAATAATAGGTATTGAATTACCATTAAATTGTGAACAATCATAAAATTGGTCACTACTCAATGATCAATTAATGTAAATATTCAGCCTACAGAAGGTCAGGTAAGGCCCGAATAGGTTCTGTGGTAAATATCTCAGACTACGAAACTGGGTAATCCACGATCAAATCCGTCAGGGAACACCAGTTCCTTCAATTTTACAAGTATGGATTGTTGATGTGTACAAACTAGCACGAAACCTAGGTCATACAGGGTTTCCTGCCGATTAACTTCAACCATTTAACAGCAAACTCAAATATCTAAATAATTTTTTGATGAAATATGTATCTCATTTAGTAAATACAAATTTTAAGTACTCCGTGCACATATTGTGATTATCAAATATTCAAACCGAAGTAGGCAGGTAGAGAGGAGTGAGTTTCGCATCAATGACCCAAATGCCCTAGTACGGCTGAGAGTAGGGAGAGTCCACTTTCCCTCTCCAAATGCTCTCACATGGCCACAAGTATATAACCTCTGTCAGGAAAGTCCTACTCACTACCTTCTCGTGGCATTACTGTTGTTTACGGAATTGAGGGGACGAAAAGCGAATGTTCGGCGTTTCAACCGGGTTGGTGGACACGGCGAGTCCACCTAGGGGAGTTGGAAAACCCTTATTCCAAACCAATGGTGCACATGGGCTCCAGTATCCTGAGGGGAACAAATGGCGTATGAACCAATTATTGGTCACTGGCTACCATAGGACCACATCTCCTCACGATGCTCCACTGTCCTGTGGTTTAAACCTTTAGGTCAAAGGCTCGGTGTGTCGCCCCCTAAGAAAACCACTTGCTTCGGTTTGGGCAGTATCACAGTCCTCACACAAAGTGTGGCGCATATGTATCTAGTGCCCTTTTGTAACAATATGTATGTGTTTAAATAAATAAAGGAGTGAGTTTCGCATCGATGACCTACTAGTTAACAGCTGTATCCAATCTACGATAGATACGTTTGTTTAATTCTTATATTTCTAGTTCATAATAACCTCCCCCTGCTTACTATCAATTATCGATTAGATCAAATGATTAAAACTTTTATTGTGTTGCGCGTGTATGAAAGTTACAAATTGTGAAGTAACAATGAAGAAAAAATGCGTTTAGAATTGGATAAACGTCTTTACACAATTATTATTTAATCCCATCTCGAACGTTTTTGCTTAGAATCCGTTTGTACATTTTGTGGTTTAACTTCAGATGATCGAAGTTGTGGACATTGAGATTCTTCTAGGTTACTACTTTGAACAATAAAACTATCTGCAAGTTGAGGTCTATCAGTTGTATTTGATGATTTTAACATTTCTGGATGTGTATACCTACTGGCTTCGACACCAGCCGATACAAATCTTCGATTATATTGAGCTGAAAAAGCTGCTTTCATGGCAGAAAATCTATCTGCTTGTAGACCTATAGTGAATAAAATTGATAATAACTGCTTTTCAATTTCACAATGATTTATCATTAAAAAAAGAAAACGAGTAAACTTAAATTTAATTAAACTAGGTTACAGACTTCCAGTTCGATTTTGTTAGTTAAATTCTTTCCAAGGATCGTTTTCCAAGTCAGTCGCCCGGTCATAATAGACATAAGATCTAGCACAATGTCCACCGATCTAACTTGTCATACATACAAAACCAATCACAGCAGGATGAAATCAGAAAGATGAACAGTAAATAAGGTCAAAGCGAAAGTAGTAAGACGAACTGAACGTCGGAGAGCATGTTGATTCGAAAGGAAGGCAATGAAATACAGATATAGAAAGTATGAAGCAATTATTATTGGCGCTTACAATTCTGGAGGAAGATAAACAATGATTTTGAGACGTCGATTGACTTGTAGTTTTCACCTAGTACAGTATTTTTAAATTCAACAATGTTTACTAAGCTGTTTCACCGTAAACGAGTAATGCTCCGAACATACCTATGGTCGTTGAAAGCGTGAATCAATTGAAGCTAGACCACCAGAGAAAACCTGGAAGCACTGAACGGTCGTTTCGTCCTATTATGGGACTCCTCAGCAGTGCGCGAGACTGGTAGGTCCTGGGTTTGAATCTCGAGAGGCGAGGTCGTGGGTGCGCCCTGCTAAGGAGTCCCACAATAGAACGAAACGGCCATCCAGTGCTTCTAGGTTTTCCCTGGTGGTCTAGATTCAATTGACTCACGCTTTCAACTATGAAAATACTAAATCTCCACAAAAAACCCCTTCTGATAATATCTATGGTCGACGAGTATTAAGAGCATACAAATGTCTTTTATTTCCAGAGGCCATATTTAAAAGCTATAAAGTTAAATGAATCGGAATGCTGTGCTACGTATAATAATACGTAAGACGGACATTTCGCCAACGCCATGTGTGGAGCAACTTGATATCATTTTCCTAGAGTCTCATACAATTATTCTTACTAACAAAATAAAACCATAAACAATGACAATTTAACACCAAAGCAGCATAAATACATCCGTGTAGATTGACAGATTGGGCCAACTAGAAATCGGTCAAATGATAATGATCAACAAATGACTTACATTTCCTAGGAAAGAAATATATGCCGTTGGTAGCTTAGTCCTTGGATATATGTAAATGAGTATACTATATATGTCAATTTAATGTAGTCAAAACACTTTCTCAATCTCAGCATTTTCACTCGATGAGCCCGTCGGGCTCGTGTTTAGGAAGGTTACGTTTCAGTATCAGACTCAGACACTACACAACGTATTATAATTGAAAGGATGGTTGAGTTTTTCCTCAACGTTTCAAGTGTCCAGTAAGTATACTGTATTCAACAGTTTTGGTCATTACTCCATTCATCCAGTGGTGAGTGAATGCTGCATATTAGAGTGTGATTATTAGTAGAGATCTCATTTTAAACCCTTATTTTCACTGGCACTTGCACTTTACACATGACATATTCATAGTGAATAGTTACAGATATTTCCAGAGACTTGAAATGAGATATTTAGTGAAAAATACACTCCAATATGGCAAAATTCACCGACTATAAAGAAAGAGAAAATGACCGAATTTGTTGAATAAAGTATAGTCATTAAATACTGAAAGTGTTGTGGATAAATGTGACCTAAAGAAGTTTAACTTACCACCTGGACGAATTAATTCAGCTCCTTCACCTGCCGCTGCTGCGGCTGCCGGACCACTTCGTGGATAGTAATCTGATTCACTGCTATCGGATGATAAACCTAATCCTGGTCTGGCACGAGGTTGTCGAGGTTCAAATCCACCACTTGGTCTAATACAACCTTCGTTTCCACCATTAAGCGAAGATCGATTATTTGCAAACCAATTACACTTTAGAGCTATATCAAGAAGCCTTTGTGGAACTTTTTGTGAACCGGATTCCAGATGCTGAACTAAACATGCTGCAAAATCAACTGGATCTTTTCCAGCTACAAATAATGTATAAGCTGTTCCTTTTGCCCCTGCACGACCAGTTCTACCAATTCGATGAGTATGTGTGTCAATATCTCGTGCAACTTCATAATTGATTACATTATGTATACTAGGTATATCCAAACCACGTGCTATTAGAATAAAAATGAAGTAGAGTAAAGAAAGAGAAAAATGGAAAGTAGTCGAAGGTGAAAACTTGTTAATATTATCTATGGTAAAATAAGAGGGTAATTTTATTTATCTGATACACTTGATAAATGAGTAAACATTTAAATTGATATTATCTTTTATATTATTTGATTAAATACTATCATTATTCTAATGTAACAATCACCAAGTTATCTACAGTCGTTAGATGTTTTATGGTGTAGGAGTAAGTTGGAAGAAAGCTAGGGGCGGTCAGACCAAAACGTGGCATAAATCCATGAAGTCACTGACAAGTGGACTGAGTCATGTTGGTAGGTGTAGACTACCTGGTTGAGATTAGCGAGATGATAGCAATCGATGGTTAGAGACCTTGAATGACATGGCTCAAAATAATTTGCAATGGCGAAGGTGCATCCACTCTTTGTGTTCTGCCAAATTCTAATCTTCTGAATTCTTCATGTCCGTATCCTTTTTCTCTTTCCAAATTTATTTCACTGGATTATACTCATTGAATAACATCTTTAAACCCTAATCTTTCCGATTACTGTTTATACCTGCGTCAACACCTGAACGAAGGATAGGGAGTGAAGTAGTCGAACGCGTGGACAGCTCCACTTATCTTGGAAGTCTGATAACCCCTAATGGGTTGGTGTCTGACGAAATCTGCGCACGGATTCAAAAAGCTCGTTTGGCTTTTACCAACTTACATCACTTATGGCGAAGACGAGATATCCGTTTACCAATTAAGGGGCGAGAATACTGCACAGCGATTCGCTATGTCCTATTTTACGGCTGAAAAACGGCCGTTAAGAGTAGAAGATCCTCGTAAGCTACTAGTATTCGACCATAGATGCCTTAGAAATATTGCTCGCATCTGCTGGGATAACCGGGTAAGTAATAGTGAGGTTAGACGCAGGGTATTAGGAAATGATGGTAAATCAGTTGATGAGGTGATGAATCTTCATCGACTGAGATGGTTAGGCCACGTGTTACGTATGCCTGAACACCGATTACCACGACGCGCTATGCTGATTAGTATTGGTGATGGTCGGAAGAGAGTTA